TTTATACAGGGATTTGTACTATCTGGGGTTTCAGGCATCTACTGTGGTCAATGTCTCCCACCAGGATAAGAGGAAACTGCTCTATTCAGTTTTCATGATAATCAAATCTTTGCAATAATTATGAAAAATGCCATTATCTGGTTTCATAGCATTCATTCTTACAATATATGGAAAAATGCTCTTGTTTCATGCAATAATCCTACAAAATATAACAGAATTATCAATTTTTATTCACTACTAGGGAGGAGAATCAGATCCTGGTCAGCATAATGTGTAATACTATAATCAGATGCACTTGAGGCACGTAGGTTATGGATCTTCACAAAAATATAGTTGTAAGCATACACTTTAGTATTAAAGCACCTGAGTTTGGAATAATATTATATTGCATTAAATGGAAGTAATATGATTGCATAAGACTGAAAATAAATTTTGTTGTGTGTTATAATCTGGCATGCTGATCTATTTTACAATTCATTAATGTTTAATCCTTCCCAGATACATTTATTTTTAACAAGGTGAATCTAATGATTAAATAATTTCTTTAAAAAATAAAATCAAATGCAAGAATTTAAGAACTAATGCAGAGAAGTCAAGAATATAACTTTGTCGATGATGGTGTCTGTGCCAGTTATTGTAAGTTGGAAATGTAGTAATTTCTCATAATTGGTGACTAATATCAGTAAATACTTGTTGATAATGTTATCATGTTTTAAAATTTATTCTATCATAATAGAGTCACATATTAAGAATATGAAAAAAACACATACGCAATATTTAAAATTGAGCACTCATATAAAATTGGTTTTAAACTGCTAAGACACTCTTAACAAGGCTTAAGTTGGCAATATTTGTGATTGAAATAAAAAAAGTTTATATATGTAGTGACTCTCTACACTCATGGCTTGTAGAATATAAAAACAGTTTTTCAGAGGCACTTGAAAATGAACAATTAATGACACATCCTCAAAGTCTATTTTGTCCATTTAATAAGAGCTCAAATCTCCTATACTTTGGAGGTGTGTAATGAGAAAAACTTATTTCAAAACATCCCAGGCATGAGAATTTCCTGTTCAAACCTTCAGTGACAGATTGATGAGAAATCAACTTTTTCCATTCTTACTTCATTCTGAGTTTCACAGGGCGGTCTGTGAAGATCACAGAAATTGTTTCTACTTGTTCTGGATATATGACTTTAAATTTCATCTTTTATTCCAGCTTTTCCACTAAAGGATTTGTGACATTCTGGGACAGAAGGTACATGCAGCAACTTTCCATCTCTCTACTAGTCTACCTCATTTAGTGGGAGATGGCAAACATTAGATTTGATGTAATGGAGGTGCAATTCACACATAAAATCAAAGTGTAAATTTGATATCTTTATATGAGTAAGTCAGGATAGATCCCTGGAATGTAAAATATGTTGGAGAATTTCTTAAAGTTTTCAAATTATTATCTGTGGAAAGTAGTAAATGACATTCACACATATTTGGATTTGTTAGTCAATATTATTTACGTAACCTGTAAATATCATAACTATCAAGTAATTTTGGATTTTTGTAATCAGAACATTGTGTATCTTTGAATAATATAAAAATTATATATAGGTTAGCTATTGTACAGAGATTGTTAAAGTAAATAAATAAATGAAATTAAATACACTATTATCAGACCATAAAGTAGATTTAATAAAATCAATTTTTATTTTTAATAGAAGAATATGAAGTAGATTACATAAAATACTAAATTGCATTAAAAGTGTTTGAAAAATTACTTCTTAAAAGTTTGGTTAAAATATTGCAATAGAGCCGGGCTCGGTGACTCAGCCTGTAATCCCGCGCCTTTGGGAGGCTGAAGTGAGTGGATTGCCTGAGACCGCGGGTTCCAGACCCGCCTGGGCAATGAGACCTCATCTCTACAATAAATCCAAAAAAAAATCAGCCAGGCATGGTAGCTCATGCCTGTAATTCCAGCTACTCGGAAGGCTGAGGCGGAAGGATCGCCGGAGCCCAGCAGGTTGGGGCTGTGGTGACCGGGAGCGGCCACTGCACTCCAGTCTTTGCGACAGAGTGAGACTCCAACTAAAAAATATATATATATATATATACATATATTGCAGTATATATATATATATTGCAGTAGTATATGTCACATTTCTGTAAGGTACTTCTCTAATGATTTATTTTTCATACTTTAACTGACATGAATCGGAAAAAATAACAGCAATTGTGATGTAAGTAATAATTAAAATAGGTGATATTTATTGAAAACATTATGTGCCAATTTGGCAAATGTTTTACATGCATTGTATTTTATATGTTCTTATGCTCATTTTCATTGATAAGCTGGGTTATGAGATACTGAATAACTTTAAAGGGCAGACATTATAAACTTCAAGGTGAGAATTAATTCTAGACCTCTCTATCTCCAGATTCCATTGACTAAATTATTAGATTAAATTATCTGAATTATTGCAAATACACAACTAAAATGATCTTGACACATGTTCACAGTCAAGGAATCTTTTTGTAATGTTAAACCAAGACAGTTTCTACATAAATGATCTATATTTTTATTTATTGTTTTATGGCTTTACATTTTAGCCAGGAAATAATAGCCAATACGTCTATGAAATAAGTATTTTTAAAAAGTTTAAATCTCTCCAATACTGTTATGCATGTTTATTATGTCATTTAATACTTTCCAAAATATAAAAATTGCTGCATTCCTAGTAATTTATCAGAAATCTTCAGTATTTCAAAAAAAAAATTCTGTAACCATTATTTCATGTCAATAAATGACTGTAAGCTGTCAAATAAAAGTTCATTAGCAAAACTATAATATATATGTCAACATTCATGTTTTTCATGTTCAGACGAGTCTTAACATACTATGACTTTCAAAATTACTATAAACCATATTAAAAATTTTAATTCAGGTATTGTATTGACATTAAAATATATTTGTGAATCACACTTAACTAATGTATTTATTGTAATTCATGAATTTCTTTTTTAGTTGACTAATTTATTGCTTTTCATTGCCCCAGCAATAATATTTTTTGTGAAAAGCAGAAACCTTTATAAAAATATTTTTTTCTATAAGAAACTTGTTTAAGTCTAAGGAAATTAGATCAAAAACTGTAGATTCCTCAATGAAACTTAAGAGTGGGTACTTTCTCTCCATTTTGCTCCTTTTGACTGTGCTAGGTATGTTGTCATTATAAACTATGTATTAGCCTCTTAAGCACTGCTATTATACAGAAGAGTTCCTAATAACACACAGCAAAGAAAAATGGATAATCACAGAGTAATCTACTCAAAACTGAATTTGCCCCCAAACCCGAAGAACCAGGAGAGAAAGTCTAAGGGCAATAAAAGCTCCATTTTAGTAACTGAACAGGAAATAACCTATGTGGAATTAAGCCTTCCAACTGCTTCTCAGGATCTTCTAGACAATGACAAAACTTTCCACAGCAAAGGTATGGCATTTCACAGCTCCCCAGTGTAATTGTCCAGAATGAGCAGCTTGGGTAACAGGATATGGGAAAAGAGCAGGTTTGTTCACATAATTTTTATTTATGAATATCAGAGTTCCAATACGAGTTTTGCTATTTAAAAATGAAATATGGTTGCTATTTTTACCCAGACATTGTGGAAATCTGTAGTTTTTGTCCAGCAAATCACAGATCATTATATTTACTCAAAATGCAATGATACTCTCTAAGAAAAACTTTTTTGGTGGTTGTGCAGTTTGGTGTCCAAGTTTACCTATGTGATCTTTATGCATGTGGGTTCTCTTGTCTGCAAATCTTCTAAATAGCTATCTCCATCTCTCTTTTCTCTGTGTTTTTATTTCTTGTCCTTTAGATGTATCGTCACCTACAGAGAAGCTCATTGCTGGCATCCTGGGAATTATCTGTTTGGCATTATTAGTGACCACGGTAACAATAATTATTATTCATTTTAAGTATATTTTGGAAAAATAAAGGAGTGCTTTTCACCTAAATGAATAGAAATGCCTCTAAATATTTTGAAATATTGAGGAATAGAATTCTCATTTTTACATTTGTTTTTGAACTAAAAGTGGATTGTTCTGAATTTCTAAAAAGTATAAATGAAAGAAAAATATTAAAAAAGTATTTGCTTTAAATTAGATGTATATGTTCTGATTTCAAACTCCAAAAAGATGTTTTACAAAGTGAAAAACCTTACTGAGAAATAGAAATTAATTCTTGAAAGTTGGCTAAATCAAGTACTGTAGGAGATATTGATTTGGTTCTTTGCACCATTTAAATATTTTTTCAAAATCTCAATTACATTATATATATTTTTTTGTCACAAAGTTCTATATTTTTCTATATCTGAACAATATGCCAAATTTCAAAGAACTAACATTATTATGACTTATTCACATCTTAATTTTGTAAAAGATTATTTTAAATTTTCTGGCAACTGCAACACAGAAGCAGACCAATTCTTTCCAAAATGAAAGCAACCAGAAAGGTACGTAATGATTTCCAAAATTCTGAAATAACAGAGTTTTACTTTGTATCTTTCTTTTGAATGAAAAAATCACCAGAGATATATTCAGGAGAAAATTATAAAATTTAGCCATAGGTGTCTGTAAATAAAAAATACAGGAGCTTATTTTCTTTTCTTTAGCAATGAATATAAATACTAATTCAAAACACTATAACCTTATTGTATTTGTTTCAATTTTCTATTGCTATAAAATCATGAGATAAATAATTTTACTGTTATAAAAAATGTATGTCTGTTCAGTGATTTAAAAATGTGTGTAATGTGACCGTTAACCTGCTGGCTCGTTTCATGTGTGAACACAATTAGGGGACGAAAGGCTGCTTTACAGTGTGTACATGTGTGAATCAGTGGGTTTTTAATTATATATACCATCCTGTTAGAATGCCTAGATATCTTATGTACACACATGACATACTTTTGTAAATTTACACTGTCAGTGTTATTTTAAACTATTCATATTGTTTCTGGGTAATTTACAATGTTTCCTCAGCATATAATTGTAGTTGTCCAGAGGAATGGTTTACATATTCCAACAGCTGTTACTACCTTGGAAAGGAAACAAAAACTTGGGATGAGAGTATGGTGGCATGGGCTTCTATGAACTCCAGTGTGCTTTATATAGATGATGAAGAAGAAATGGTAAGACTTTGAATGTTTCAACTACCTTATTAAAAACTTATTTCAGTCAGTAAAACATTTGAGGAAATAATCTATTTTCTTGTACATATTTTGTTGAATTATTTTCAGCTAAGCAGATTATATTGCTTGACTTTAAAATAGTTTATTTGTATTCACCTTCTGCTAATGCACTTTTCATTACTTTTTAATAAAACCATGCTTCCATTCATGCTTTAATTCTAAAACACATCTTGCTATCTAATTTTACTATATATGAAGAAAACTAAGTATATTTTAATTTTAATTGTGCAGGTTGATCACAAAATGAACAGCCTCATGAAATACGAATATCATGAAACAGAAGTTTTCAGCACTGCTCTTGTATATGTGCTCATCACCACTACCTCTTCTCATAAACCATTGGCCTGTGTTTTAATATTACAAATATTGCTAAGTCAGGGGCTAGGTAACAGCAGAACTACTTCATTTTCTCTGCTGGTGGAGATTTGAAGATATCCAGCCACTCTGTTGAGCCCTGGGGCTCAGGTTTCAAAGCATTTCAGCATTCCATTTCAAACATTATTCAAAAAAAGCATATAAAATACTCAAAATTACTAATTATCAAATAAATACAAATGAAAATTACAATGAGATGCCAACTTACACGTATCAAAATGACTATCAATAAAGGGAAAAAAATAACAGATGATCACAAGCATGTGGAGAAAACAGACCATTATACACTGTTGGTGGAAATGTAAATTGGTACAACATCTATGTGAAACAGTTTGGATATTTTTGAAAAATAAAAGCAGTACTATCATTTAATCCCACAATCACACTACTAGGTGTCTACACAAATGAAAAAAAATTATATCAAAAAGAAACACTCACTTTTACATTTTTCTATTGCATTATGCACAGCCTC